TGTTTGGTCAGGCTATCGGAATTTTAAACGTGAAGACATACGGGAAATTCGACTCGCGCAAAGGGAATTCTTAGAAGAACAAATAAAACGAAACCCTAACGATGTTGTAAATATTTGGAAAGCAATCAGATCGTGCATTCCAAAAAAGCCTGCGAATGTTAAAAGTTTTACAAAAGACGATCAAACAGTTGCAAATGAATTCACAGGTTTTTGAGCTCGGTTGGGAGATCTACGATGGCAAAGACCCAACTTCTTGCGGGAAAATTCAGTTATGCACTCCAAAAAAATTATGCTGTCGCAGACCAGTTCTCTTTTACCACGATATTCTCTGGTTAAAGGTATTGTTAACTCAATACCTAACAAGAAAGCCCCAGGAATTGATAAGATATCACCTCGCTTAATCAAAGAGAGTTTGCCAATTATTGCCCCTAGTATTACTTCCGTCATTAACGCTTATCTTACAAGCGGAGTTTTTCCAACTTCTCGGAAAATTGTCGAAGTCTGTCCAATTCGTAAGAACGGAGATCACGAAAAAGCTAATACTTACAGACCAATTTCAGTATTGCCAAACTCTCTATGATGTGAAAGAGTAGTAATGAACCAGCTGACTCCCTATCTAACATCCAACTAGAGAATATCAGTGAAACAAAGTGGCAAGCCGAGGGATGTCTTCGAAATTACTGCACTTTAAATATCCCTACTAGGAAAAGACATTATACCGCATCAATCAGTCAAAGGCCTTGGAGTAATTTTTGAGCCCACGTTATCTTTTCGTTTTCGATAAAAAACTGCTTGAAATAATAATAAACGCGCTCGTTTTCGTTAAAACTATATTACTGTTCATCTGTATGGTAATCCACCTCAGCCTGTAATATTCGTAAATTATAATACGTTCAAAACTTTGCCACGCAAATTATCTGCAACGCAAAGAAGTATGACCACACCTCTCCTGTATTTAGAAACTTACATTGGCTCCCTGTAAAAACACAACTGTATTACCGAGATGCTGCTTTAACATTTCAATGTATGACAGGTCAAGCTCCGGAAAACTTAACATTTATGAATGTAACAAGAGGCAGAGTATCTGGACGTATAACTAGAAACTTTCAACGACTAAACATTCCTCTTTTTAAAACTGCAACAGGACAGAAAACGTTTCATTATAAAAGTTTCTATATCTAAAACAAGTTAGATCCAAGCCTTAAATTACGTAATAGTCCCGTTTCCTTTAAGAGAGCTCTAAAAATCACCTTTTGGATGAATTTTTAAACTGACCATATTTTATTTAAAGATATACAATTCGTGTTGTATTGTATTTATTTTAATTTTGTAATCCAATTAGCTCACTGAAAAGCCCCAGATGGGGATGTGTTCAATAAATGTATGTATGTATATATGCATGTAGGTATGTATGTATGTATGTATTACTAATAAGAGAGTTTGCTTAACAATAGTAACTTGACCTTAATTGATTATAGAGTTTAAAGCTGTCTCTCCCTCTGACACATCTGTTGACATATAGCCAGTGAGCTCAAAATTGCAAAGAAAACCTGATAATGCTGTTCCCAGAATATTTCAACTTATTAGAGAAATCCCTTTTAATCCACTAAGACTTATGGAAGAACATGCTATTTAATTAATGTCCAAAAAAGTTGCCTAATTTTCCTTCCTTCAAAAACCTCTCCCAGGGTATAAAAAACAAAGTATTTTGAAATTCTTCAACCAACGTGAATTCGTATGCATCCCTGACCCTTCCCCCATCGCCAGCACTCACTTTTATATCGAAATTTCTATTTCATCAAATATTTAGTGACCTATCAAAAGTTGCCATTTCCCAAAGTAGTATGCCAAATGACCAGCTAGAAATGGGCGGAAGAAACACATTGATAGCCAAAAAGCAATGATTAACGGCTTGCTTTTAGTTAAGCATACATGTACTTGCTGAGGTTTGAGTGACATGGGAAAGAATAAGTCCAAAATTAGCATTCTGATCGCACATTGAAGAGGTTCGCGTGGTATCATGGAAGTTTCGGATTATCTAAGCGTTACGCGGAAAAAATTAAGTAATTCAAGGTCGGTCAGTCTTGATCGCTTTCTCTTTGGTTTTTTTTTTTTTTAAATTTTGGTATTCCAAATCTCTGTACAAGATCATTACAATCCTTGATTTTTCTTTGTTATTAGAAGTGCAACCAGGTTAGTTTACCTTTTCCTCGGGGTATAGCGCTGCTGCATTAGATGATGAATATGTTTCCACGCATTTTTGGTCACACTAAAGAGTGGTTTTTTAGTGGTTTTCCGTATCTGGCGTAGAACAGGTTCATTATCTACAACCCTCAGTTTTAGGGTACACATGTTAAGATTGTATCAGGATGCGTATGCTAGAAGACTGACTGACTCATCCTAAATAAACTTTTCACATTGAATGTCTCGTGTGAATGCAATCAGAATCAATTATTTTCCGCGAAATATGTGATGAATTTTCTGGAATAATAACAAGTAAAAATTCGTAGAGAAAGATGTTTTTGTATTGCCACGAGCGTGGGACAAAGAAAATTTGAAAAAAAAAGACAACCAACAATTATAGCTGAAAGTTTCTGAGAGTCTTTGGCACCGAACACTACATATTTTTGACGATGGTTTTTCAGACAGTGCGATCAAACCTGGCGTGGAACAATCCTAAAACGCTTTCGTTCCAACATATTCTACGTATGCATCGGGGGTATAACAACGTAAGGGAGAATGGGATGGTGAAAATCTCAGCGGCCAAAAGCATGTGGATTGTCAACCACCCACTTCCCCCGCCCACTTCCCCCTCCCCCTCCCCCCTTTCCCCACCTCAGCCTTCATATGCTACTTCTGTCACATATTGCTCTTGAATGTATAAACTCGATCTCGCAGAGATTCTAAAGACGACCATCTACATGGAACTTTACCCTGTGAAAATGGTGCATGATCTTGTAACATTAACTTGTATAAACTGGAATGAACAAGCGAACAAGTCACTACGCCGACCGGAGATTTTTCATCCGTTTGGTTGAATATTAGTTACACCATAGATTATAAATAAGGAAATCGAAATAAATTGTGGCAGGATATATATGGGGCCATTTGTCTGTCTGATTTGGAGGGAAATAATGCGTTACTTCCGTCACCCTTGCACCTCAAAAAGCTTTCAAGGCTTCCACCATGAACCTATTCGGTGACAACAAGAATTGTCTCCGAGAAAAGAAAAGTGGTTATCAGTAACAAATTTGCTGCTACAAATTGATGGGAACTCGACGACGGCAAGTGAGAAAGTAGTCTCAAACCAAATACCAGCATGCACGTTAGGGAGTATTACGGGTTGGCTGCATCAGTTTTGCGAAAATTAGCAACAAAAAGAACGAATTTGAAATTCTAAGTGCCGCTCTCGCTAAGGGCGGTCCTTTCGACTTCCCCTCTATGCGTTTGCGGAATTGCGCTTGTGTCAAAGTGACCTTCAATAAAAAATTATAGAGGTCGCACCCAGAGTTAAAATGGATTTTTTTAATTGTTTTCTAAAGAATATCCTTGCCGAATTCAGAGTAAAAGAAGTTTATTTGTATTTGGAAGTTTCAGTTCTATTGTTATCCCACTGAAACTTACGGGAGTCGGACGGGAACCAACCGGAGTACAGATATTTTGCCGATGTTTCACCCACGCTAACTTCAATGAAAAGGAAAAGCAACTCTGGTGACAATAGGAGTGTAAGTTGAGTAGCAGTTTTTAGCGTAAACAACAAAACTAAAATTGGCAAATGCCATCCATGAACCTTTTGTAGATGGTAAGCCTCTAAGGTTTGCACGCCTAAAGCGTACTCTATGGAATGGAGTGGCTAACTCTTTATATAATCAAATCCTTAGCTGGAAAAAGTCGTCTTATGTTAACATTGTATGTTTGCAATAATAATGACATGCTTATTATAAAAAAAAAAATGAACAAGTTTTAGCATGCAATTGCCTTGGGTAGAAATTAAAGTTGCAAACGGCTTTTGATAGGCTTTAACATCTTCAATAGCCAGAATTAAAAAATCGCGGGTAGATTTGTGATAAAAGAAAACAGAAGCACAAACAATAAGTTGCGAGGCCTTTGTTTCTTCAGGCGATATTCCTTGGGAAGGAAGGGAGCAGCATGTTCAATTGAAATTGTTCAAAACAAAATGGATAGTTTATTCTCCACTTTGAGCATTCTTGCGAATTTTATTTATATTATAATTATTTTATTTATTATTATAGTTATTTACTATTATAGTTGGAAAAACAGTTTTGTAGGCGTTTGATCACGTTAACTTTTAGTTGCTATCAAGTTTTATCGCACTCAATAAGTATTACCTCATAACTTCTTCTTGTGTGTCCATACAAAAACGCCATAATGCATCCGCTCATGAATGCAGTTATTGTGCCACCACACACACCTAGCACAGTAATCAGGGGAAAAGAACGTTGTTGTTCCTTTATTGGCGAGGCTGTAGTTGAAAACACTCGTTGAAATAAGAACAATTTAAAAATAGTGAGACTGAACATGGCATGGATCTGTCAAACGCATTATTTGGTGCTGTTGGTTGTTTCGTCTCAAATAATGACAAACCGAAACCTGATTATCTTCCTGCTAGGATTTGTATAAAGGAGGAAATATTAATGGCTCGGTCGGCAAAAACGGGGTTTTTCTTCAATTTATATAGAGTAAAATCTCGTACTGATTTCTGCTACATGATTGCCCTTCAAGGTAAATGAATGCTGAGTTACAACGTAGTATCAGTATGCTACCTCACCTAACTGTTTAATGAACAGGAAAGCAGATTTCGGAGCTATTTCTGCAGCGCTGTTCGTTGTTGCTGTCCAGTATTCAAGGAATTTGAAAATTCACTCAAGTGAGCAGTTCTAAAACACTTTCTGCTGGGATTTCATCGCCTTCCCAGAAGAAATGGTCGATCCATATTAAAAGTTAATGCCAAGATAGGAAATATAGAACACGTGTCTCACTTAGATCCTTTGTGGACAAGAATACAGGCTTTGATGGTTCTTCTTCCCCACTATTAATTGCAAAGCAGTAATATTTTCTATTATCTTCCCTCTTTATACCCTTTACTACCAGTTTGCTATGAATTTGCTTGTCGTCGAGGAAAATCTTAGCTACTTTAGTCCGTAGGTTAGAGTGTACAACAAGTGCGTCATCATTCTTCATCCACGTGATAGACGGCATGAGATGACCTCTGGCGGCGCAGTTAAAGATTGCGTGTAAATCAGCATGAACAGTTTGGTTCTTAGGATCCTCCACAATCTCTGGTACCAGGAAAACTTACACCGGCAATTTCAGATAACGGTAAATAGTTTTTTCGAAGAAAGAAAGCAAAATTTGAGAACCCGGTAAAAAATTTTGGCGGAGTAAGGAGCAAGTAAAGCATGTCCAATCAATTTTGCTCATGCTTCTCCGTTTTTTTTCTCTCCACGTTACTTCTCTATTAGAAATTGGATACTTTACTGTTTTCTATGTAGAGGTTATCGGCACTAACCGACAAATAGCATCTTGACTCCTCTTAGATCATAGCTGCTCCGTGGAAGACAAGTAAGATTAATTTATCAATAAGGCTCTGCAATCGAGCCTTGTAGAATGTGTATGTAACTTCGCATCAAATGCCAGGAAAAGAATTCACCCATAATTTGCAATAGCAATGCATGTGGGTGATGGGATCATCCCTTTACGATTTTCTTGCGTAAACTTGTCAAGTTCTGTTTTGACAGACGTACCCAATTTGCTTCAATTCGTCAATCAAGTTTTGCTTGCTCGGTTCAAGAACGGCGGAAGGGTGTTGTCGATCCTTGTTTTTGAAATGATCATTCTTCGGAACCAGTTCTCGAAACTTCTCCTCAGTAGTGTTTTTCGATCTGTTTCGCAGGGTTCTTAGCCGGGAAAGATTAGTTCGTTCATCTCCACATTTCAGCCACCAGTATAAAAATGCTGCCATAAGGTTTTTGCATTCGTGGGAGCAGTCAGGCAAAATCGAGAGTAGCCACAAGTACGGATCTATTTCACCTTTCACGATTTTTGACTCGATAATCTCAAACGCCGTTTTGTTACCCGACTCATAATCTGTCGACAGAACTAAGACAACCTTGCGTCTACAAATGAGCCATTATCAAGGAAATGATCTCAACCCCTTAAAGATGGTATCTGGCTAATATGACCTTTTTCCTGACAGTCTTCACAGATATCTTTTTTCTCAAAGCAAACGTTACAAAAGCTTTCACGTCTCATGTTTTTCAATTTCAAAATATTCCGCTGGCCTGATGCGCGTCTTTGGCATGCTTGGCACGCCTGAACATTCTTGAAACTCATTTGCCATTGTCTCCCCCGTTTTTCCTCTCTGCGTCGCGTAATCACCTACACGAGGTAAACTGAATTTATCGTCTATGTTTGTTAACGATGAAACAACGGCCTCTGTAATGATATTGTTATAAAGGTCATCAGCAGAAGGATCATTGTGCTCTCTGACATGAGCGAGATCAACTTTGAATTTTGGTTCAACATTTTATTAGATGCGCGAATCGAATTCTGTGGCTGGTTTCAAATACGTTCCATCATTTGCCAAGGCACATGGTGTTACCGCTAAGTTATCCGACTTGAAAAGAGGAGCAGTCTCGCCGTCCTCCTTTACAAGGTTGATGAGGAAAATCGAAGCGTTGCCTTCTTCTGTAGTTTATTACTTTAGAGATTTGCTAAAATCAGCAAATAGGACTTTTTTACGGAACAAAACATTCTTTGGTCTATAATTTGATTGTTTATCATCAACATTGCTCATTTTAAGAGATTTCAAAGTCACACACTGCCTGTTGGTTGACATTATTACAAGTCCCAGTGTGCCACAACTTCGGTTTTTACAGACGAGAAATTTTGCGCTCTCGCTTGAGAACAAATATAAATATCGTTTGCATTTGCTATTGTTCTCGCTGAATGTCATGGCCTTTCCTGCGTGCACGTGCGAAACAATTGATATACGGCACTCTTTCGAGTTTTTCTGCAAAAGGGAAAGCAACACGGGTTCCTATGTTTTTTCCTTTTACTTTATTTGTATTTTTATTCTCTTTCTTACATCATCACACATGTATGTTTTTTTATTCCTTCAGTGCGTTCCCTTAGATGTGGAAGTAGGCTATGAAAAGTCTCGTGCGTCACTGATTAGTTTCCTTCTTCCATCCTTTTAGTATGAGAAATGCAGCAACCACGGAGTACATCAGGCAGTTAACCATCCACAGGCAGTTAACCATCCACAGGCACTCGAACGGGTTAGCTATAGGCGATATCGCTTCCTGGCTCTTCAGCTCTGAAATTACTTCGTTGATGTTTTTAAGATCGCGAATAGTTGTTTCATATTAAATCCGCGTGTCCAGTAAACGATCTGCATAGTCTCCTGGGACGTCACGAATTGATGAGAAAATGATCTTTGCTTTGTGAGCTATCTTTAGTGCTTCGTTGTTTAGACTTGATTCCACTGGGACTTCAGGGGTGGAGGACATGTGCAAGTTACTTTCAGTTGTTGAAGTTAAATGCAAATTTTCTTCTATATTCTTTCCTGTATTTACGGTTTCTTCTCGACCATTCTGCCCAATAGATCCTTGCATGACCAACATTTATACGAATATTCTAGCAGCCTTTTTAGAGTGATTTCTCAATGCTAGCAGCTTGAATAATAAGGTTTTGACTTGATAGATTCAGGCTTGAATCTAGGCAGGCAGCTCCTCCATAACTTTCATGAAACCTTTTTTTCTCCCAGAAAGTTCTCTAGGTGGGTTTCAGACGATGTCATGTCCTTTGCTTTAGTTTTACACTCCAGCAAGTCGCTATTCATCTGGCTCGTCCATGTTCGTCTTGGTCGAGGTTGCTGTTGGTTTGGCATATTTGTTGAAAGGTAAATTAGGAGAATTCGCTTTAAGGTGCCTCTATTCCTAAAAAGGGATATTGCAAGACATCTAAGGATACCTTTAGAACCAGCACTGGCGCTTTAAGCTCGGCTTGCTTTCGATTAGACCATGAAACTCGAAGCTTCGGAAGAGCTGCTTGTCACACGTCCTCACTACTCGTCGCCCGTGATTTATTATCGTCAATTATCAATATTATTATTATTATTATTATTATTATTATTACAGACCGAGTTTGGTATAAACTAGATATATTGACTGGAGTTGCGTGACTTGTAGCGTTTCTCATTTTGCCTTAAGGGCTAAGCAAAGAAAACTTCTAGTTGATGAAATAGCCAAAAAAGGTTTACTTGCTTTTAAAGTGCCTCGTCTCCACCTAAAGAATTTTTTTCTTCACAGGCATCGTAGTTTGTTGTCCTTCAGTACTGTTGAGAGTCATGGACTTCCGTCAGCATTTATCAGACTCCCCGGAAATAATATTATTGAACATATACAAGAAAGGGGAAATCGTGGAGGTGATTTAGAGAATACTGTTTTGAGACTGGAGGTTCTTTACGAGGTAGCGTCGGTTAATAGACACATTTCTTTAGAAACGGTTGACTTAATAATTTAAGTTCGTTCTCATCTGAACGTAAACTTGCCTCAACAAGAGCCTTTTCGTGGGTATGAAGCACCAGTAGTGAGTGAGGCAGGACGCCGAGGAAGACCTAAGTTTTCGATTTCCGAGTAGCAGCTGCTATTTTTTCAGAAGTGAGGAGGAGAAATTCGTTTTCCATTTTCAGTTTGGGTTGGTATCCGCCGCTTTCGCCCCCTATTGAGTTCGCCCCTTCGAGTTCGCCCCTACCTTATACCGTGTTCGCCCCCACACTTTTCGAGTTCGACCCCCACCAAGTCGAGTTCGCCCCCAGATTGAGTCGTGTCTAAATTAGTTGCTATCGAACATTGCAAACAAGTTAGAACCAAGACAAGTTTTGAATTTTAATTGACCGACGGCCATTTTGAAAGTTTATATGTGCGTGGGAGCTAGGGCGACCAGAAACAAGAAATAATGTGGTCAAACGGTGAAATACAGAGAACTTTCGTTGGTCATGACCTTAATAGATTGGGTGGCTCCTACAGGAGCCGTTTTTGTATTTGACCGAACCGAAAGGCTACAAGATCGTTCGACGATCGGGTTGCTAGCAATCTCGCGGCCCGTAGAGTTCGGAGCAGGCTCGCAGCAGCTGCTTCGCTGTCCGATCACCGTTCTCGTGTTGATCCCACAGGCTGAAGAACTTTTCTTGCAGCTGCCGGTAGGTTCGTCGCTGGAGTCTGCATAGTTTGTGCTCCGAAACCATTAAGAGTCGTTAAGCGGCTCTCTTCGTGAAACAGCTGGATCAGCATGTACAGGGGAAGCTGACATTTTCCCTGAGAAGAAAATGAGGAAAATACATATAAATATGGAAATAACACCCGAACTCGAAAGGAGGAAATGTGCGACAAAACCGAAGGACCATAGCGTAATGACAAGCAAATAATTAACCTACCTGCGCCCGTCGGTTGAGCCCGTTGTGCCATCCTTCTGCGTCGTTGTTGGTCCGGATGGCTCTTAGGTTATCCATAATATCCTTAGTGAGTTCCCCTTTTGAAAGTTTCATTCAATTTTTAATGTAAACTATCTACTCTCAAAGAACTGTGTTTTCCTTTATGAACAGTAGTTATCTTTGTTGGAGAACAACTTCACGTATAAAGACATGGCTCTAATGCTTGACATTAGCAAGCGAACTACTGAAAACCGAATGGCCGAGTATGTGTTGACGAACAAGTCCCGCTACAGTGACGTAGAGGACGATTTCCTGGATAATTTAATCCATCGTATTATGACAAATTTTCTTAGATCGAGTAAGTCCTCATAGAATCTTTTTAGGTTGTAGCCACTCATGTTCAGTTAACAAATGAAGATTTTTTTGTCCGTAGCCTAGTGATGAACAGTTTGAGAACCAGTATATAATGACAGAACAATTTATTCCTCTGGAACTAGACATGATAAACATCTGAAAGGGGAGATTTTCTTGTTTACCTCTATTTCTTTCAGATTGCTAAAAAAGGAATTGAAGCCTGTCGGCCGATACGCGTTATTTATTGAACACCTCAAGAAACGTAGACATAATCACACATAGCAAACGCAAACGCAAACGCCTTTTTTTCAGTATGAACGAAAACTTAGGACCGTTTCTGAAAATCCCGTATGCTGTTCTCTTCCAGCAGATTCTTACAAAACGCGACCAACTTAAAAGCAAGAGCGTTAAGCCCGCCGCAGAATTTGCACAAAATTTTGCTTATCCGGAACACGTTTTGTACTCTTTAAACAGAGAATTCAAGAAAGCATAAGATGCGTTGAC